AATCTATAAGATCAGCTTGTGTTTCCATTTTGTCTCATTGTCCTTTATCTGCTTGTAAAGCCTTCTTGCCATCTGTAATGCTTGGCAATCAAATATGAAAAAGTTAAGAAATTAAAATAAATCCTCTGTTACATATATTTGAATTTTATATACCTTGACAGATATTAACTTTATCTCTTGGAATAGCACTGACCTACAAATTTTTTAGTTTATCCTTTTTCTTAGCTAATTTCATGATGCTGAATCTGAAAAATGCATTCCATTTTTACTGCTCTACTCCACATTATGCTGCACAGATCTTGAGTATTTTTTCTAAAAATGATTATAACCAAATTTCCCATAATGTTCAAATTAATTCTGAATGCCTCTTGCAAAAGAATTTGAATATTACTGAATTCCTGATTGCTCAAACACCTAGTTTTTATATTATGATAAGGACAAAAGAATAATGGCAGACAATTTCTGGAACTTAAAATGGAACAAATCTACTAAGCCTTCATGAAAATCAAATGAGTAAACATTATTGCCATGTCTATTAATTGCTCTCAATATTTAAATTTTAATCACTTATTGTGTGATATCCCTTTTGTATTTCAGAAATAGTTTTATTTACACTATTTACATTGTTCAGACTGCTGTCCTCATCTTTGTTTTTTTTTGTTTTTTTAAGCATTACGCCCTGGCGTAAAGCCACTAGGATGCAGGGGGTTGCAGAAGATTTGGAGCAAGAGCAGATAGAAGAAATGATGAGGAGACGGATAGTGGGTAGATCAAGGTAACTGGAGGTGTCGATTGACATTACATTTGAATAGTTGGAGATTATAGCTCTCAGGGAAACAGTAATAGGGAAGGGTGTTCCACAGGCGAGAGGTGCGAGGTATGAAGCTATTGGAGTAGAAGAGATGGCTACATTTAAAAGTTTCTACAGTGTAAGGGTGGGAGCGGGATGCCAGCCTCGTAGGGCGCTTGAATTCATGGAGTCTGGGAACCACTGAAAGCAGCTCATCGGAGCAATTACCATGAAAGTATTTGTAGAAAAGACAGAGAGAGGTGACTGTGCGTCTGTGAGAGAGTGACTGTAGACGAGACACCAGATCAGGGCCAATTATATTACATATCCATCTCTGGATCTTGTCAAGAACTCCGAGGTAAACAGAAGGTACCCCAGACCATATATAGCAACAATACTCCATGCAAGGCCGAATGGTTTATTTGTATATTTGAAGTATCGATTCCGGGGAGAAAGATTTCCTGGCGCGGCACAGAGAGCCAACTTTCCTCGCAGTGGAAGTGTTGCCATATTCATGATGTTTAAGCTGTTGTATACTCCAGCCTTCCTCAGGCGATTGGAATTTCAAACAAAACCCTTTATTTTGTCCACCAGGGTATTGTTCTAGTTCCACGTGTCATGCCTCTTCCGGATATCTTAGTATCAGTTATTTCCCTTTAAGTCAATGCTCCAAGTTTTTGTTCACCTTTGCTGTAGCCAGGTATTGGACGAAATAAAGAGTTTGGTTTGAAATTCCAATCCCCTGAGGAGGGTCAAAGCATACAACAGCTGAAACATCATGAATATGGCAACAATGATGAGGACAACAGTTTGAACAATGTAAATAGTATAAATAATTACAATACTTTATTTCAGAAATATAGACAAATATAGAAATAGTTTTATTTCACACTAAGATTGCATTTAAGCTTGAAATTATCATTTATTTTTTCTTTATATTTACAGTGACCAAGAATAAACATGTCCATTTTTTTTATATAGGGTGTGGTATTCTGGAGCAGGAAAAGTTAAACTAATGGTTAAAAATGAACATTCTTTTAGGATTCAGCACCCCAAAGCTGTTCAAAATTAGCCAAAACATCTGCACCATTTAAAAAATAATTTGTAGGCCAATTTAATCAGGTGTTACTTGACTTGATTCAATGCATCACAACTGAATATTGCTGTATAAAAAAAAGAATAGTCAAGGCAATTCTCAGATGATTCCAGTGATTATATCTAGCATTTAAAGAGGCATCCTTCATGGAACCAACTTCTTATATACTCTGCAACATAGGGATTTAGTTAAGTTCCACATCTGTCAGCAAAATTTCTATCTTCTAATCCAATTAATACTTGTTTGTAAATAAAATATTTGCCATTATATCTCTGTCAAATATTCTTTCACTTGTCAACCTGTAAATTTGTTGTTTCCACCTTTCTCACTTAAAGCATTATTTTTTTTTATCTTGCTGGTGTTTTTTCCCCAATCCATCTGTGTCTATTTTGTCAGCCTGTCTCCCACTTTGTAATTTAGCTTTCCTAATCATCTTGTTACTTGTCTAGCAGTGTATCCCAGATGTGCCTCTTTAATCTAATCAGACGGCTTCTTAAGTATCCATTGTTACTGCCAATCTGTACGCTACTTGCTGCTCTGCTTCTAATTTTTTGTTTTTTTATCTCCTTTATAGTTTCTCAAGATTTTGTTTGTCTCTGCCCAGTAATATATATATATATATATATATATATATATATATATATATTTCATTATATATATATGTTTCATTATATATTATTACCCATCATATATAATATAATATATATTTTAATATATATATATATATATATATATATATATATATATATATATATATATATATATATATAATGGCTAATAATATATACTATATTATATATAATGGCTAATAATATATAATGTAACAGATTGTTGCCACTTGATGTTAACCTCAGTGTTCACTTTTAGATTTACACATGCTCTATCCCTGATAATGAGCATTTCCCCCATAAATATAGCATAACTTACAACTATATTTTTATCATATATATATATATGGTAAGATATGAGACAATCAAAAACTCTTATTTTGACATAATTTGCTGAATGGATTTTATTTAAACCAAATCTATATTGATGAGAGAGAGTGTGATTAATGTTAATGATCTGAATACTGGGTTCATTTTATAATTTTAACTGTATTGTTTTTATTAGATTAGATTATACTAATATCAACTTTTATTTATATTTTAATTTGTTTTAAGATTATCAAAATAAGAGGTTTCCAGTCTTCTGCCACTCTATTGGATTTTATTCAAATTTAAATCACACCCACACACCCACACTATATAAGAAGTTTACATCTATTCATGAAACTTTGAGTATTGTGATGTGGTAAGGAATAAGGATATAATTATATATATATATATATATATATATATATATATATATATATATATATATATATATTAAAACCAATATATAGTATATATTAAAATAAAATATATATTTAAAAGATTATATTCTTATTCTTTACCAGATGATGCTACTCAAAGTTTCATAAACTTATATTTCTCTTTGAAAAGGACATAGATATGTCTGAAAATATTGATTTTAACATCTTTCTCATCGTTTTCATTTGGTCAAAAAAGCCTACTAATATATGATAAATAATATTAGTGTTATTATATATATATATATATATATATATATATATATATATATATATATATATATATATATATACCTTTCACACACATCAATAAATCTGGTAGCATACTGGTGAAAAATGTTCATTTTACACCAAAAATGTAGTATTTCCTAGATAATATAAAAGTTAATATGAATTACATAGATCAAACATTACACAACAAAAATTTAAAAATTCAGCTAATAATTATGTGTCAGGCTGTGAACCACTTTTATATATGTGCACAGGTATACATATATAAATATGTACACTCCACCAAACACATACACATATACACTTAGCACCCATCATGTTTAATTAAAATTCAAATTTAAAACATGAAATACAATAGAAATCTTTTACTTAATATTGTGGTCTTTCTTTCTTTTGAGAGATACAATAAACTACTGTGTTGCAAAGCATGGTTATTTATTTACACCAGAAAAGACAGGAAACTGCACATGTGTTAAGGTCTTGTTAGTATCAGCCATCATTCAAAATTAGCAGCTCATCTGCATATATCCAGAGAAGTGTAAAATCATTCAAAGAGTCTAATCAGATGAGAGGCTATAATTGATCTAAAGCCGTCTTATCCTCTACTGGAAATGATGGGACTTTAGTATATATGCACGAGCATAATAAATCCCCAAACCAAAGGGGAAATAAAAAAAAGTACCTGCTCAGTATATAAGTAATCCTAAACTGTGTATCTTCAATAAATGTAGAGGTGAATGTCTTCATACTGAGCATTTATTGCAAGCTCTAGTGGTCATGCAGTTAAATGGGTCAAAACTGGAAGTGTTAAAGAATGGTGTCTGTAAATGGATGAGATCTGAATTTGAGACATAACTGTAATGTGTGATCAGTAATTAGAACCAAATCTCTTTTGGAAAGCACAAAGGGTTCTCTTGAATCTCTGTCTATCTGGATCAGTCCAGTGCTTTTTGCCATGAATATATTTAAAGATTGTTATTTATTCATAGAAAGAGCATATGAAAGTGTGAAGACTAATTTCAGTGAGCAAGGAAATCCTTTTGCCTTTTCTTTCTTTCCTACTTATTTTTTCCTTTTCATTCTCCTCTTTTTCTTTCCTCTTGATTGTTTACTTTTTCTCTCCTTGACATTATTCTTCTAGTTTCTCATGCTTCATTTCATTCTCATCTTCTTTCTCTTCCTTTTCTCTTTTTCTTCATTTTGAAATCAATTTATGACATTTTTCTTATTCTTTTCTCTTTTTCATTTTCTTTCCTGTCTTAACTTTCTCTTTCTTCTCTTTAGTTCTTCTCAGATTTCTTTTCTTTCTCCTTTTTATATTTTTCCAGTGCTTTTTACCTTTAGCCTTTAATTCACAGTGTTTTTTTTCTCATTCATTTTTTAATGAATTTGCTTAATCTTTCTTCATTAATTTGTATATTTTTTTTTATCTCTTTATCTTCTCCCCACTTGGTTATTCATCTTGTTTTTTCTCATAACTCCCCTTTCCTTCTCATTTACACACCTTTTCATTAACCTTCTCCTATTGTCTCATGTCCCTGCTATTTACTGTTTGTCTCTGTGTACGTCCCCATCCATCCTTTTTAATTTCTCTTTCCCTTTCTCATTCTCTTCTCACTCCTCCTGCATTCTGCATTATGTTTCTTCTTCTGTTTCCATGTCTTCTGTATTGTTTCTCTTTCACTTTCTCTTCTCACTCCTCCTGCATTCTGTTTCTCTTTCTCTTTCCCTTTCTCTTTCACTTCTCACTCCTCCTGCATTCTGTTTCACTTTCCCTTTCTCTTTCTCTTCTCACTCCTCCTGCATTCTGTTTCTCTTTCCCTTTCTCTTTTCTCTTCTCCTCCTCCTGCATTCTGTTTCACTTTCCCTTTCTCTTTCACTTCTCCTCTCCTCCTGCATTCTGTTTCTCTTTCCCTTTCTCTTTCTCTTCTCACTCCTCCTGCATTCTGTTTCACTTTCCCTTACTCTTTCTCTTCTCACTCCTCCTGCATTCTGTTTCTCTTTCCCTTTCTCTTTCTCTTCTCCTCCTCCTGCATTCTGTTTCTCTTTCCCTTTTCTTTCTCTTCTCCTCCTCCTGCATTCTGTTTCACTTTCCCTTTCTCTTTCTCTTCTCCTCCTCCTGCATTCTGTTTCACTTTCCCTTTCTCTTTCTCTTCTCACTCCTCCTGCATTCTGTTTCACTTTCCCTTACTCTTTCTCTTCTCACTCCTCCTGCATTCTGTTTCTCTTTCCCTTTCTCTTTCTCTTCTCACTCCTCCTGCATTCTGTTTCACTTTCCCTTTCTCTTTCTCTTCTCACTCCTCCTGCATTCTGTTTCACTTTCCCTTTCTCTTTCTCTTCTCACTCCTGCTGCATTCTGTTTCACTTTCCCTTTCTCTTTCACTTCTCACTCCTCCTGCATTCTGTTTCTCTTTCCCTTTCTCTTTCTCTTCTCACTCCTCCTGCATTCTGTTTCACTTTCCCTTTCTCTTTCACTTCTCTCCTCCTCCTGCATTCTGTTTTCTTTTTCCCTTTCTCTTTCTCTTCCTCCTCCTGCATTCTGTTTCACTTTCCTTTTCTCTTTCACTTCTCCTCCTCCTGCATTCTGTTTCTCTTTCCCTTTTCTTTCTCTTCTCCTCCTCCTGCATTCTGTTTCACTTTCCCTTTCTCTTTCACTTCTCCTCCTCCTGCATTCTGTTTCTCTTTCCTTTCTCTTTCTCTTCTCACTCCTTTGCATTCTGTTTCACTTTCCCTTTCTCTTTCACTTCTCACTCCTCCTGCATTCTGTTTCTCTTTCCCTTTCTCTTCTCACTCCTCCTGCATTCTGTTTCACTTTCCCTTTCTCTTTCTCTTCTCACTCCTCCTGCATTCTGTTTCACTTTCCCTTTCTCTTTCTCTTCTCACTCCTCCTGCATTCTGTTTCCCTTTCTCTTTCTCTTCTCACTCCTGCATTCTGTTTCCCTTTCTCTTTCTCTTCTCACTCCTCCTGCATTCTGCATTCTGTTTCACTTTCCCTTTTTTTCTCTCCTCCTCTATTGTTTCTCTTTCCCTTTCCCTTTCCCTTTCTCTTTCTCTTCTCACTCCTTCTGCATTCTGTTTCTCTTTCCCTTTCTCTTTCTCTTCTCACTCCTCCTGCATTCTGTTTCACTTTCCCTTTCTCTTTCTCTTCTCACTCCTCCTGCATTCTGTTTCACTTTCCTTTCTCTTTCTCTTCTCCTCCTCCTGCATTCTGTTTCACTTTCCCTTTCTCTTTCTCTTCTCCTCCTCCTGCATTCTGTTTCCTTTCCCTTTCTCTTTCTCTTCTCCTCCTCCTGCATTCTGTTTCACTTTCCCTTTCTCTTTCTCTTCTCACTCCTCCTGCATTCTGTTTCACTTTCCCTTTCTCTTTCTCTTCTCACTCCTCCTGCATTCTGTTTCACTTTCCCTTTCTCTTTCTCTTCTCACTCCTCCTGCATTCTGTTTCTCTTTCCCTTTCTCTTTCTCTTCTCACTCCTCCTGCATTCTGTTTCACTTTCTCTTTCTCTTCTCACTCCTCCTGCATTCTGTTTCCCTTTCTCTTTCTCTTCTCACTCCTGCATTCTGTTTCCCTTTCTCTTTCTCTTCTCACTCCTCCTGCATTCTGCATTCTGTTTCACTTTCCCTTTTTTTCTCTCCTCACTCCTTCTCTATTGTTTCTCTTTCCCTTTCCCTTTCCCTTTCTCTTCTCACTCCTCCTGCATTATTTTTCTCTTTCCCTTTCTCCTTCTCCTACTCCTTCTGTATTGTTTCTCTTTCCCTTTCTTCTTCTCTCCTACTCCTTCTGTAATGTTTCTCTTTCACTTTCTCTTTCTCTTCTCACTCCTCCTGCATTCTGCATTATGTTTCTCTTTCACTATCTCCTCTGTACTCCTCCTGTATTATATTTTTCCCCTGACTCTTTTCTTTTGCTTTGTATTCCACTACTTCTCATATTTCTTCTTCTTGTCTCTCTTTCTTCTTGTCCTTTTTTTCTGTTCCTCTCCCTTGTATTGTTCTTCAGTTTCCTTTCATCTCTTCTTCTTTTTTTATGTTCTTCTCTTCATGTGTACGTACCCATAGACAATTTCATGCATCCAGGTGAGATCAGACAAATCAGGCATATCATCTTGCATCCAATTGGATTTTCTATCATCATCACAATCATCACCATCCTCTCCTCTTCCTCCTTCCCATTCCCCCTCCTGTCAGAAATTGGCAGGAAGTAATTGTGATGGACACCATGGATCCTTACAACATTGGCGATTGCATTTTGCCAACCAAAAGGTGTTACTAATAGAAGACGACAATGCCTACATTAGAGAGAACAGCTTGTTACAAAGTTATGGCACTGCCCGCAGGACCTTTAGACAGGGAACTCCATTATCCAATCTACTTGTATCTTCGTCAAGAAACATGCCTACCTACCTACCTACCTACCAACCTGTGGGCTTTGCTACTTAGTTATCAACCTTCTCATATAACTGGCCACCAATCTACCTACACACAATTTGGCTTGTACTTGTAAGTTTCTCTTGAACGATAAAAATAATTGAGAACTTTAAATAATCAAAGATTAAACAAAGAAAATCCTAACATTAAATCTTAAACATTTTCCCTTGACATCGTTTAAGTAGCTGAAAAATTTGTCATGTCCATATAAATAACAATACATTATTGGGAAAGCTATTTTGATAATACTGTGAGAAAATGTAAACCAGTCATTGTCTAATGAAGTGAAGTTTTGATAAATTTTCTTTTATTGTATTATGAAAGTATAGTCATTTAAAAATGGCTGAAGGAACAGAAGGACATGAGCAATTCTAAGATAAGCTTTGCTATATAATAAACTAGGCTTCATGTTGTTACTGACAATAGATATATCAGCTAGGCAAGGAACTGAAGAGACTTGTTCATCATATTGTCTGTCAAGCATCAAGGTATGCTTCTCGTATTACTAGAATGTAATCTTGCCAATTAATAAGTTCATCTATAAGTTCCCGATGTGGACAGTGGAAAGATCCAGAGGGGGCGTTGAAAAAATGAGCAGCCAGAGGGTGGCACAGTAGCACATCTGAGCCATATTATACACCACACAGATTGTACTTGAAGTGTATTTTGCCTTCACTTTACAGTGTGTTCCATTTATATAACAATTATTATGGGAAATTTGAAATGCAACACTAGCAGCAAGAAAATCTGATCAAAGGTTGACTATACACTGGGGGTCGTTAGGGTTGTGTCTATACAATTGGGGGTCGTTAGGATTGTGATTTGGTATGCTAGGGGGCAGCAAGCCCAAAAAGTTTGGGTACTGCTGATCTAGAATGATAGTTTCATGCTTTTCCCCAAGAAGATTAGGAAAAATGAGTTCTAAATGGTTATGATCAGAATTTGATAAAACATATCTAATGGCATACAAGTTTTCTTCTATCTCATTCTATGTGACATGTCTCTTCAAGACGTTTGCGATCACAACTCTCCACAATTTCCTGTTCTTTGTAGCACTTAGTAAATTTTATCTTTTTGCTATCTCCCCTAAACCCTTTTTCTGCCATCTATTTACACAAGCTTGTTAGGTAAGTTATACACTGTTCTCCTCTATCCCTCTTGCTTTCAATCTGTCCTGTGAGTGTCAAATTTTCTATGTCCTCTTTCCTTATTTCAATTCAATTATCTCTTTCTGATAATAACTATGTGTCATTTTGTTTCCATTTTCCTTAAAAGTTTCATTGCTCACATGTTCAGTCCATAATATTTTCAGTATTCTGGTGTAGAACGACATTTCTATTACTTCAAGTTGCTTCTGTGAGGAGATTGTCCAATATTCACTGCCATATAGAAGAACTGACAGACATGCCATATATCTAGGATGGGCCAAGAGCATTTTGTTTTGAGTGATTTGTCCTTGTGTCCAGCTAGTGATATAAGCTATTAGTATTTCTTTTATTTGTGTGTTAACTGTGATGCTTAAGAAATAAATCTATAATAAAATTGAAAACTGTTCTCGGTTTGAAGCTTGGAAATTATGTTAAGTCTATATAAAAGACCAATTTTTTTTCTAAAAAAGTGGCTTAAAATATCTCCCCGGATCTTATATGTGACATTGACATATACACTAAATTTAGTATAACAAGCTTTTCATTTAATTTCACACCAGGCCATCAAATCTGCAAAAATTTCAGCTTTTAAGTATGTATAGATATTAAGTTATTAGAAATGTTATATTCTTTTATTAATACAATTCACTTTTAAATAGAATTTAACATATTCCTGTTGAATATTCATGCAGATCCTTGCATCTACTACTCAGGCCATGTTTTTAGTATAAATAGTAGTAGTCAGTTGAAGTACAAAAAAAAATAATATTCCCTTATCTAATCTATTTCTGAGAGAGACAAAAAACTTTATTTTCAAAGGAAAAAAACTTAATTCAAAATGTTCTTTGTAAAACCACATCAACACTTTGTGAATATGGACTTTTTATTGCACTTAATCTGCTTTTGTCTTTTCCTTTTTTTTGTGGATGTGTTGAATATTTTGACCAGGCCAAATCTTCATCCATTCAACCTTCCATACACCCATTTTAGTGATACTATTTTTATATCTCTATTGTAAAATGCCAATATTTGGTTCAGCTGTGACAGAGTGAACTATCACTGGAAGGTTTAAAATTTGTTATGGAAGCCTTTGAAGGCATAAAGAATATAATGATTTAAAAAATGAATTATCTGTTTTGTAATCACTCTAGTTATATAAAAATCACAAGATATAACTGTCAACCTATATACATCTATAAATCTTATCTACATCTTTTCAAACCAATTGAATCCCGAAGAATCTGGTTTAGAGACATTCATGAGTAAAATTTTATGTCATTGAGGACAAAATTAATTTCACATCAAAGTAAAAGCAGAAATCTATGCGCATATTTAACAAACTATATTCCACTTTCTTATCTGCCTCTATATCTACACTGTAGGCAACTAATTGAAAACCTTGTGAACTATAACCTGTATATCTGGGTTGGAGCTACCAAATCTTCACTTTCAATCCTTGACAGACTTCAAGAGTGTTTATGTGGCCCTGGGGGGAGGGTGTCCTTATTTTCAAACTTACAGTCACTTTCCGACAGTCACAAAACTTTTACTACTCTATCGCTATTTCCATGGTAAATGTTCAAATGAGCTACATTCCTTAGTTCCACCAATTCAGAACTTTACACCTACAACATGCCATGCTGCATACACGGGGTCTAATTATCTTCATTGCATTTGTATTCTATTGTTAAGGAGGACACTTCAGACAGCTTTTTCTCAAGAACTGCTACTTTGTGGAAGTACAGGATGCTTCCCTGATCATTACAATCTTAACAATTTCAAGTCTTGTGCCTATCATTATCTATCCTACATATCCTCATAGTTTGCACTTTTGAAAGTTTGCAAGTTGATTGTGATATTTATTTACAATATTTTACATGTATTTAGAATTCAAAATACCAACCGTTTGCTTTCACCATAATCCTTTATCTCTTCTCAAATGAAGTGCATATCTTCTATGCCACCTCTTCACTCAAATTGTACCATAAGAGCTTCTTTCAAGTATGAGTATGAGATACTTGAGTATCAGATACATGAAACATAACTCTCCAATATCTGCCATATTGCAAAGTCTATAGGATTACTGTGAGGGCTTGATGGAGCCCAAATTAATTTTTCAAAAAATCCACAGAAATGTCTCTTGCTTCAGTTCTGTATCAAATTGGCCATGTGTGCAGGAGCACTGTCTTGAGTGAATGCTCCTTAGTGACTTCTGAGTGTGGCTGACAACCAAGGCAACATGTCTCTCTCCAACATTTGATGGTAAACTCTGCTATTCCTTTTCAGTCTTTCTTCAATGGGCGATTTTGAACCATCAGAAGCAACAGCTGCCCAGACCATGACACCAGTTAGTTTCTGTCAGTTGGAATGTGTTCTGACACCTTCCTGGTAAAGTAGCATAAACCCTATTATATTGATAGTTAGTTACAGCCTCTACAGTGAAACACTTCTTGTCTGATCAAATGAAAACATTTTCTGTGGTATGCAGCATCTCCTCTAACATTTTCTTTCCTCTGCCAAGCCATTTTTGCTTGGAGATACTTGAGATCAGCTGTTGTTGTTGAATCTTGTATGATTTATTCCTAAATTCTCTTTCACAATCCTCCTTAGTGACTTATCTGAAATACCCAGTTCTTTTGCCAGCTTCCTCATGCTTCTTTGTGCATTTCATTTCACCATTTTCTTAATGGTTTCAATGATTCTCCTGGTACAAACTGAAAGTTTCTTCCTGAAATTAAATTTGGAGAGGTTGTTTACTTCTCATGAAAGTTTTTCCCCAGATTAAACTGCAAATGATCAACTGTTTTATCATTTTACAATTCTTCATACCAGCCATTTTTAATGTGACAATTTGATAACATTTTGCTTGTGCAATCATAATAAACTGTAAGCATAAAAGAATGTCAGGAAACCTTATGTAAAATTTGAAACTATTTTTACAAATAGGTATGGTTTAATATATGTATAAACTAGCAGTATGGCCTGGCATTGCCCGTGCTTGATTCAAAAATTGTACAACTCATACAGCAATCGCTATCACTTGACTTAAAATATTTTTGATCTTCCTTGCCTTTAAAGGAGTGCCCTTTGCCATGTTGATGTTGCTACATGCCTTACTTCTTGCCTATCTCACACTGCAAATTTTTTCTAAGCTCTATACTAAACATTAAATCTGTTACGAAAAAAGAACTAAAAAAAATGAACACAAAATGATCAGCTTTAAAAAAGGACTTGTAACTGGAAAAATCAAATGAAAAAAGAATGTTAACAACAAATACTTTTTCACACCCAACCCAGTTCTGCAGAATCAGAATCAACATTGAGTTTAAGCAATCGAATGAGCCAATTGGAGTAAAGTGCCATGCAGATTTAAATTTTTCCCACTTGTGACGAATGCAGCTATCGATTTTTTTTGCATGCTAGCATGCTAATTAACATTCATGTCAGTCAGCTGTTGGCACTCACGTTGGCCAATAGAATCTTCCTGCCTATTTGTGGCAGCCAGCTATAGGCTCTCACTCTGGCCAATAGAAAATGGCCGCAAACTACATGAAAACTGCTGTAGAAGCATGAAAAAATCGATTATTTCCACTATCAAGGGGAGTTGGGAAATGCAAAGTTGGTCTTGG